GTCCTCATGAAGTGGCAAACGCCACGCTGTCAGCCTCTTACAGCCATTCCTTCTTCTTGCAAAGACCCAAAGGTTAACGCTCATTCTCACCTTGACAAACACGCAAGCAGCGTGCCCAAAACACGAGAAATCGGCTCACAGCAGCCAAATTTAAGCGCAGCTTCGCTTGCCTCCTCTTAAACTTTGCACCTAGGGGCGGGCAGGCCGAAAGCACAGATATTATTAGTCCGTGGTGTGTGGGATGCAAACCACCAGCCTGCGTGGGTGGATGGAGAATCCCTCTGTGCCATTCCTGGCAAGGCCTCTAGATGTCCACACAGCCCAAAGTATGAGAAGGACTTGGCAGAGCCCCAGCTCCCCAGCCCAGGGATCTCCATCCTCACCCCCTCGCCACCAAACGCTCCCACAAAAGTTTCACCGCCCGGCCTGCGAGAGCGGTGAGGGTGAAGGAGGTCGAGGAGGGGATTTCCCCCCCAATTTTAGCCACCCAACCTGGTCCTCTAAATCAGGGAGCTTGATGTTTGGGGTGAGCATCTCCAGCGAGGATCCCCTTGCCCCCGCGCGCACACGCGCACGCTGGCAGCCTCAGGGCAGCTCTGGCTGCCGAAAAGCACCAAATCTTCCTTATTTCTTTGCTGCCTCCAGCATCTGCGGCCCCGGCTGGGGCCTGTCGGGGGACAACTGGATGGAGCAGGGACGGAAGCTCAGGAAATCTTTTGCTTTATGATATTTTTTCCTCCCTCCGTAACAACATATTCCAAACCCAAGTGGCACCAAAGGCAAAGAGGAGCTCGTGGTGTGGTTTGGCACAGAGATGAGCCGGATTTGTTCTGTTAGGAGGGGAAGGCTTGGCCGACGGAGCCGAGAGCGGTGGGTTCAGCTGGCCCTGCCGTGCGCCAGGAGCCCGGGAGAGGTCACACTCTCCCAGCCAGAGAAAAGAGCCGATGGAGCTGAGTCTTCCTGCCCAGAGCAGATGGTAGACACGGGACTTCCCAAACCCTGAATTCAAAGCCCTCCTTGTTTATAGATGACTGAGTTCAGTCTCTTGTCACAGGATGTTGACACTTTAGCTCTGGCTTTCCCCTTCCTCTGTTGCAAAAACACAATCTGGCCAGAAAAGAAATTAAGAAATCCCACCACGGCAGAGAACCATCTGTCAGGGAGAGCTTTCGCATCGTGCTCCTTGGCAGGAGCTGGAAACTTGGGGCTCTGGGGGAAAAGTCCTCACGCCCGGGCCCTGAGAGGACTTCAGCGGGGACGGGGAAGGGCAAAAGGGGATCCCGGTCTGTGCCACAACGCGTTTCAAAACCATCTGCAGCCTGCGCAAGGCTATGAAGCACGGGCAGCGGTGACGGAAGCCATCGCTGCAGATGAAAGCAGCAAAAAAAGCTGATTTTGGAAATGGGGATCTGCCCTGAGAGCTTTCCAACCCGTTTCTGGTCGATCCCTGGGAAAGCCCCAGCCGTGCTGTGCTCCCCTGCCTGAAGCCAGGCACCACAAACCTCTTCATCCTCACCAAAACTGCTGCTTTTCTTTGGAAACCGAAACAGAGACGCTCCCCTTGCTTCACTGCCTGCTTTCAAACCTAGAAATCTCAGGCAGCCCTTTTGCTGTTGAATCACTGCGGTGGCAACAGCCAAACGGGAGCAGCGAGAAGCCGAGCGTGGGACAGCGGTGGCTTTCCAGGAGCCACTCAAGTCCCACAGTCCCTCCTTTTCCAGCTGCAGCGACACGCACCCGATGCAGTCAGCGTGGGATTTATTTATTGTGTTCCCTGTGGATAAACAGCCTCGCCAAAGGAAATGCCTTTTCCGCCCCGGTCCCGCTCTCGGCCGCACAACAGGCACACTCTGTCCCTTCGCTTCGAGCGTCCCTCTCGTCCTCCCCTCCCCACCTCGAATTTGCTGGAAGCAACCATATATGGTGAAAAAACCGGAGAAAACGGCAGCGAGAAGCTCCAGGGCTGCAGCCTGCGGCAGGCACCCACCAGCTCTCCCAGCGGTTAAGGGCTGGCAGCCACCAGAGGAGCGTGGCTTCTCCGGGCAACGACGGGTAGCGGCTCCCGATAACCTAGACCAGGAAATAAAAAAAAGGCATTTATCAGTATCAGGCTTTTATTACAAGGAGGATGCAGACAGATGGTGGGAAGAAGGGCAGTTTCCAGCGAGGCATGGGGTGGCCGGCAGGGAGGGCGGCGCTGAAAGCTGTTGTCCTGCCCGGTTTCTGCCTTACCCAATTCCTTCTCCATGACCCGTGCACCAGCCCCGGCTTGCACTGAGTCACCTCGGGGCTTGGTTTCTCACTCAGCCCAGCCCTGCAGCTTCCCAACGGCATTAGCCACAGCGTCTGACATTAGTCATGCCTCCTCGCCGTCCCTCGCCCCCCGCCAGGCAGGCCGGAGGGGACAAGGCTCCGGCCACTCTCCCCGTCCACCCTCAGCAGCAGCTTTGCTCGCAATTAAGGGTGGGGGGATCCTCCAAGCACCCCGATCCCCGCGGGAAAGGAGCTGAGAGCGGGCTGAATGCCTTAAAACAATCCTTTAGCGGGAGCAAGGAAGCCCCCAAGAGCTGGTCTCTGTCTAGAAATCCAACTGGCTTCTCTTCTGCTGCCCTTGGTTTTTGAAAGAGAGGCGACGTTTTGAAGCTTTCGTTTTTACAAGCTAAAATTCCTAAGCATTTCCCAAACCCTTGCTTAATCCAGGGTGCTGCTTGCGTGGGAAACCTTGTGAACCAAGTCTCGGCCCCGAGGAAATTACAGCTGCTCCTTCTTCTGCAGAAGGAGCGGGGAGGCATTTCCAGCCGGATAGGGGTCAGGGGAGCAAAGGGCAAAAGCTGATTGACAGATAAAGAGAAATTTGGAGAGGACTGGGGCTGTGGAACGTGCCTTGGCCCGTATCGCTGGCAAGCTCTTTGGTTTCGGACTCCATCATCCTTTGACATGGCTGGAATGTGTTTTTACTGTCCAAAAGCGAGCAGCCGTGGGCTGGGTGCATCTTCCTTGGAAAGACGGGCACCGAAGGAAACCGGAGAGGGAGAGCGTAAACACGGCTCCGAAGGGAATGCCGGGCACGGACCCAAGCTGGGGTCTCTGGGATCAAATATCCCATAGCTGGCAAGGCTGGAAAGAGAGCTCTCCTCGTTTTGCCAAATTAGAACAAATCCTCAATTCTTCGTTAATCCGGCACCTTTTTTCCTAGTGTGCCACGAGAGACAATGGGGCGAGCGCGCCGGGACCGGGGCCGGCAGGAAAAGGCGCAGTTCCTCCATGACGTCCCTCCTTGTGAACCAATTCTCTCGCCGTAGGGAAAATTGTCCTGCAGTTTGGCAGGCGAACAGTTTATGCCCCACAGTTTATCTGGCTGGTTTATCGGTTTATCCTAACAGGTGTGAATTAACTCCGGGGGAAGGAGAGGGCGGCAGAGAAGGGAAAGCACGGTGCGTGCCGGGAAAGCACGGACAAACAAGCTCCAAAGGACAACGGAGACAACTCCTAACAAAAACATCCCTTTTCCTCCTTCGGGGTGGGGAGGTCTTGGGAACCCCCGTTTTCCATTACTGCTTTGCTGGGTGGCTCCGAAAGGATTGTTTTCCCATTTCCTCCCCTCCCCGTGTTTTCCTGAACTGTAAAAGCATTAACAGCTTTCAAAACCAAGGGCAATATAGCCCCCGCCTGTCGGGGAAGAATGTATGCTCAGCAAAAATTATCTACGAAGGAAAACGCGAGGGTTTCTCCGAGTCCAAAGGGCTTCTACGGGGACAACACAGCTGTCCCCGCTCCCCAAATCCCGGCTGGAAAACGGGGACGAGGGGCCTGCCCCGGGCACGGTTTCTAGGAAAGATGTGGTTGTTTGCCCTCCCTTAGATCGAGGAAGGCTTGTTGGCGAAAAAAAATCCCGTTTTCTACGTCGAGCAGCGAGGCACATCGAGACATTGCGGTCTTAAAAATAAACATTTGCCTCAGGTTTTGTCACCGGCTGCGTTCGGTCGTCGTCGTCGTGTCGTCCCCCCGCCCCGAGACGCTGGCTCGAAGGATCCCGAAGCGCGGGGGAGCGGGAGGGGGCCACGCTTCCCTGTCAGCGAAACGGCGGCGCCTGGAAAGGGCCATTTCTGGGGAAAGTCCCCGAAATGGCGCGGGTGGGGAGGGGCCGCGGGTCGCCCACCACGGGGGGCTGTGGAAACCCCCCACACACCCCCCAGGAGGATGGAGAGAGGCCCCCAGGGTCAGGCTTCGATCCCCTACCCCAAATCAACCCTTTTTTACCTCAAATAATGTGGGGGGGGGCACGGGGGGGGCTGAGGGAACCCCCCAGGCACCGGCTGGGGGGGGGCCAGGGGGGGGT